TTACGGTTAGAATGAACGAGCTCGGTAATGAATCGAAGAGGTGTTTACGGAGACTCGACATATGCTTCAATTAAATTCAACAATTCAGATACATTGTAACCATCTCTTTAATTATTTCAAGTGCATGTGAATGTCAGGTGAGCGATGGAAATTCCAGTAAATAGTTAATGTTTTAGTATAATTATTTTAGATAATAGTTGTAATTACTTGTTGTTTCAGGTTTTGCACCCAAATCTTTTATGATTGCCAAGGTTCATATAAATGAGTTATTACATGTCATGGAGTCTATAAAATGTTGTAAAATATATTACGGTACATTTACTATTTCTTAGGATATGGTTTGGTTCTCTTTAATAATTTAAATTTTCGAATAAAACTACGATAAATTTCAACGTTCCTACGTTCTACAAAAACAAATGTGCTTGGAGTCCCTTCGCACGGAAGAAGTAAAACTTCGTTATGTTGGAATGAAAACAGGAAGGGGTAAAAATTTATTTAGAGGATTTTTTAAGACAATCTTTATTAACTTTACTTAAATTTCACAATTGATTGCCCGCATGCGTTCGAGCTCTAAGCATTCTCTCTCTCTTTGTCTCATTAGGGAGAGTAAAACGTTTAACGCAACCTTGTTGGATATCGCATAAAAAGTTTCACCTCAAAAAAAAGATTAAATTCCAAATAAATTTACTAAATTTAAATCCAAATACTTTTTACGACAAATGTCAGACCAGTCTATAATTCTATTACTCTTAAGTACGATTGTCAATGAACCCACCCAATACCTATATTATGAAAAAAAGTTAAGATGTCTCGATAACAGTTAATGGCAATACAATTTATTTTCTCCATTAGATTATATCTTCAATAATCTTACAAATATAAGATAAATAATAAAATTTATTATAAACCGAAAACTTCTCCCCCAGCCACAAAATTATTACATATAGCGAAGATTATTTAATTTTCCTTTCTTATCGGCAGAAATAATAGTATTACAATTATTTAAAATAACTCAGTAGAGTTGTAGTTCGTCATATGATCGTGTTCAAAAGAAGGCTCTAAGGAAGTAACGAAGCGATGTTTAAGATAAAACAAAAGAAAGAAAGAACGAAGATGGAAAAATGGCGAGCAATGCTTGAATACCTTAATGTTGAGGCATTAGATATTTAACAAAGAAAAATATTTAATACCAAAAAAAGATTGTTACATGAAGGCTATCATAATTATTACGTATTGAATAGTTCCAAGTTAAGCCTTCACAGAGCTACATTAGGTTGTAGTAGTTTTACGATTTAATCTTTCTTCTAAATACCTACACAGTAAAGTTTATTTTGTTTTTAATTTCTTTATTTTCTTTGAATCGTTATTTAAATAACACGAATAAATATATGAATTAGAAATTATTGACATAATCCCAAAACATATAAATCAATAATATACCTTAATTTTCTTTTGTCAAAGTGGGATTTTTGTTAAACCATTATTACGGGATATTTAAAAACTTCTATAGAAAACTAATGTCTTTAAAACTAATCATTTATTTTTAAAAGGACAACCGGAGTATTCTATGTCTTTAAAATAGCTTGTAACGTGAATTAAGACATATTTCTAGAAGTTTTAAGTGAGAGCAACCAATTTTCTTTCAATAATGAAAAATCTTCTTTTCTCATTAATGAAAGTATTATGGAATTGTTAATTAATATCCGTTAAATAGTACAATCGTAAACGCTAAATAAAAATTCTTCTTTTATTAAAAAAACAGTACTTTCTGTGTACATTTTTATTCTATGGGATTACAATTTAATGTCCGAAATTATAACTTTTTTCGTGGCCAGTTTTTATTAAAAAATAACTGACAAAGACTTTATAACTCGCCTATAATAATGCCCCTTTTCTTTTTTAATCCGACTTTTCCACTACGTTGCTTACGAGCACACATGCCACAAGAAGAGACGAGGTTGTGTATTTTGTTCAGTTCTACAACTGCTAATGGATGTTAGCTTGGCTCATTTATTTACTTCTCTTATTTTACAAGAATAAGAATTTAATTCTACATCACAAAGAAACTATACTAAGACATACATATCAGATATTGTTTTAAAATTAACAATGGAGTCGTATATATTCGAACATATTTACATGAATAAGTCTACAGGATTTAAAATTTAAAAAAATATTAAATAATTATTAAATTCTCCTTGTTTAACGAAAAATAAGTAAGTTACGCTGGTATACTATCATTGCTTGCCCTTAGTCCTTACCACATCCGTATTATGTCATTTCGACCCAAAGAAATGATGCGTACAATAGTAATGCTGAAGATGGAAGTAAAGTTAAGTAAATTTTAAACTGAGCTATCCATAAAAGGTGTCAACAATATTTGAGAGTGTCTATGGGTGTCCTGTATGAATAATAATTCTAAAATGCAATACGGTATAACCTTATTTGGCAAATTCTACACTCTGATATTGGTTTAGATGGCGCAAGTGGCATTGCTGCCTAAAAATCAAAAGCTCAAAATGGCGGCGTTTAGGAGCAATGAGAAGGTGAATGGGTGATATGAGATTCAAATATACTACACTATATAGAACCGTATGGGATTCCGAAATGTATGTGATATCGAAAAAGAGGATTTACAAGTTTATTCCAAAATAATTAGATATAAAAACAGCCAGCAAAACCGTGTTCCTCCGGCAACTTTCTGTTTAATCTTGTGGCTTTTTGTTGAACCTCTTTACTACATGTCAGATATTACATTTATTTTCTATTTTTTATCGTTAAAATAACCATAAATTCTTAATTATCTAACTACCTAACTCACAATCACTGTTAGTTAAATAAATAATGAAAATAAATAAGAAAAATACGATTCTAGAAAAATGAAAAAAACAATAAATAATTAAACATTTTGAAATTTGTTGAACAATAAAATTATAAAAAATATTTTTAGACAAAATGTTCGTTTTTTTCACATTTATTATCCTTAAATGAATATAAATAAGTTCAACTTATGGAATGCAAATCTCTCCATTGATCTCTTATTTATTTAGAATTTCCTATGAAATTAAAAACAAATTTTATCTAATCCAATTTTCTTTTAGGAGGAACCATAAAAAAATAACTAAGAATACTATATGTACATATATCATAGATTTATAAATTTAAAGCTTGTCTTTTCAGACATGACTCTGACATTGTACATATTATTTAAATTATAGTAAAGACTTAAATGTTGTAAAAATTAAAAAATCGTGTACTATGTAATATGAGAATGAATTTTTTATTAGTATTATTTTTGTCATTAAATAAATATTGATTGTTTTGTTACAATTTTACATGACCTACTACTTTACATGTCAAGGTAATTTATAATTTACTATGCGTGCCCGTAATTTGCATGTTTTCGAAACTAAATGCCTTTGAACTGAAATATATACACAATTGTGTATTTTTTTGTTTCACTAAATAGATTTGATTTTTCAATGATTATAATCTATTGGTGATTATTTTGAACAAGGAATAGAAGTAAAGTTTTGAATATTAAGCATCTGTTCTCACAAAATTAATTGTATATGTACAATGTACATATACATAATGACTAGTAGTTATTTATATATTTTGCAAGTGTTTGTTTGTTTTTCTTTTTTTAATGAACAATTATTTATTAATTAAATCCTTTGTCGAAATAAAAGGTGTTTTTTAAATAAATATATATGTTTAAAATTTTTACTACTTCTCTGATTTCTGATTTCATTTAAACAAGAATATCTAATTATAGCCATAAGAATAAGAACGTTTTACACTCCTGAGCAGTAACAATTTTAGTATTGACTTTAATTCGTTAAAAGTATTTTATAAACATCGTTACAAGATCAAATATTATTAAAAATGGTTGGTATTGAAGCTAAAGCTAGTTATTTACATTTTTTATTTTAACGACAGGTCCTTTGCCTGTCATGAACTTGTATGACTCATCTCATCCAATTATAAGTTGACAACCATTTTCTTTCTGCAGATGTTGATTAATTTTTACTATTACATCAATACATGAAGTTTACTTTAGAAGCAGTAACATAATCAGTATTTGGAACTTCGTTTTTGGTATGTTTTGGATTATTATATGAGAAAGCTACATTGAATTTGTTTAATTGTGAGAAAATATAAAGTAGCAGTTTTGGTACAAAAATAACATTTAGTGAAAATGAAGAGTGGCTCTTAGTTTATAACCTTCGCATTGCTTTGTAAAAAATTCAATGTTTTCAGTTTCTTTCTAGTTTAATGGGTGAAGGTCGGTTTATCGATTTTTCTTCCATTTTCTTTACCCTGTAGGTAAACAGAACTCTTAATGATGTATAGCAATGCATTCGCTTACCGTATAAAATTTAAACACAATCGCACTAGTGAATAAAAGAATGCTGGGGCAGACGCAAGCATAATAACTTATGGATAATTTAAGAAGTGTAAGGTAAAGTATCCTGTCTCATAGTGCCGTGAGAGATTGTGTCAGTCTTCTTCTTAATGTTGCTATAAGATCCTGAATTAAGTTTGGTTCCATAATTCTTCTTTTAGTATTCTTCAATATTGGCTAATAAAATACTGTGGAAAGGGTATACTCAGGATCTTAAGAACAATTTATTAACAATTTTATAGTGATGGACATCTTCCATCTCCCTCTAAAAGTCTTCTCTCTTTCTACTTCCAGTGACTTTTGCGATATCGACGGCCGCACTTACATAAACGAATCTATGTCACAGAAGCGGGCGGAATACTGCAATACCGACACACATGTCCGGCGTAGCGCTCGTAAATATTGAAGATATTCTAATTTTCTGAATGACATCTATGCTGTATGATAATCAGGAGTGAAGATTAGGCTATAATGAGCTTATTTCATTTAATATAATTGACATACCTCACGCTGATGTTTGATGGTTTGCTAGAAGCGGACGGTAGAAAGTGAGTCGCGCGGTAGCTCCTCCTCATCAACCTTGAGCTCGCGATTAGCTGAAAGTCATCCCAAGCCGGCGACGACTGTCCCTGATCGATTTTTTTAATGCGTTCCGGACACACATGGAGGAACGGGCAGACGCGGCGGCGGCGGCGGAGGGGCGTCTACGGAGATCAGTCGAGGCCGCCGAGCGCGACCGCGACACTCGCGCGTTTAACTCTATTCCAAAGTCGGTCGATGCGATAGCGGAGATGACTCGCGCATGACTAGAGAGAGAGTGTGGACGCCCTGGAGGGCCGCGAGCGAACGAACGAACGCGCGCACTAGAACGCGCACGATCGATATCAGGAGGCGTGCGCTGCGGCTCGCCCGACACCACACTCACACTAACAGAAATCACCCTTTATTTCAATGATGACGTTAAGAACAACGTCATAATGAAAGAGCAAGCTGCTAAAAGCGCGCGCGTTTCGGTGCCCGCGCAGTCTGCTTCCAGTCGTTTAAGTATGAAGATTATTTTAAAAAGGACAACGTGAGTCATTTTAAAGCGATTTGACATGAGATTTGTTTTTTATTGAAATTGGAATATTAGTATCTCTTTATGTTTATGACGACCAATTTACCAAAAAAAAAAATGTTCAATCATGGTGATTGTTACTATTATATTGAATAAAGATTAATCAAGATTAGCACGTGGACAGCGCTTCCCAATTTATAATTTTAAAAGTCTTAAAAAGTTACTACAAGCTTAAAATTTTAAGTAGAGCATTCATGCAAAGTTAATACGAGAATTAGACGAACACTTTGGCCTTGACATATTAAAGGGGCAACTTCATGTGTAGACTTCTAGTTAAATTACTATTAATGTGAAATAGTTTTCTTTTATTATGAAAAAGTAATAAGTTATCTAATATATATTTATGTTTGTTTTTATTCTCTTAATATTTTTATAACAGATTTTGCTTAGAAATGCTTTGGTCTAACCATATAATAAATAGTTAATAACGTTATGAAATAAAGGGATATATAATTAAAACGAACTAAAGAGTAAATTCATAATTATATTTCATATACAAAATCTTTTAAAAGGCGCTAGAGCTCTATCGCAGTAAATGAGTAAAGTTGAAGTTGAACTACTTTCAACTGAGCTTGTCAGCGCAACTTCAAAACTTCTGATATGAGTACAGAGTACCTATTAGTTTTGAAAAAAATAGAACTAAAAATAAATAAGAAAAAACACAACAGATTAATAGCAATCCAATAATATAGAGAGCTACTATTGTATACAGTGCAATCGAAATGGCGTAATAGAGATTATAAGACGTTATAGGAAAGAAGGGAGAAGTAAATTTAATTCAGGATGCCGTGCGGTGGGTTTATACTGAAGACGCATGTGCATTCCCGGTAGTAGACGAACAATTAATAAAATATCTTACAGATAATAAATTAATTAAGAATATATATAAAAAAAATCTTCTTCTAATCATCATACTTATTATAACAATTATGTAGATATGTTTGTCAGACTTAATATAACTAAATGAAATGTTTGACAAAAAAAACCGTGCCTAAAAACATTCAAATCTAATTAAAAACGTTATGACTCATGGTGGATTATCCGAATTATACTAAAAAAACAACAAAGCGTTCAGCTATAGTGAAATATAATAGACCACTGTTATTTCTCGAAACTGGAATTTAAAAATTTCTTTGTTAAAAATTGTAAAAATTTAAATATGTGTATTAATATTTCAATAACGGATATAAAAATCTAAATATAATATTAAATAAACGTTCAGATCAATTTTATCATTCCTTTCATTTATATATATATATAAATATGTATTTAAATGATGAAAGATTCGAAAACTTTCTTTAAGAAAAAGTTAAGATTAAACAGATTATATGAAAACAAATGTATATAAAATTAACAAAATCTTATTCCATAGTTTGCAACATATTGAAATTGTGTCAGAACGTATATAAATATATGAATATATTGTGAAAATGGTTTTAAAACAGTGTCGCGGGGCGGGGCGAGGCGGGCAATTGAAATCTCTCTGTATGGCGATTGCGCCTGACGTGTGTCGGTGAGATACCTCTCCGTCCGGCCCATCCTCGTTGGATATGATGATATGATGCACAAAGATATCGTGTCCTATTGAACTTTTAACATTTCAATTTGGAATGTAATATAAGACGCGACGATTACTTACTTAATTTCTTACAAATTACTTACTTTCTTACTTTTCCTACTTATTAAAGTGATCTAAAATATATATATACTTTTTTATATTGATATTGCATATACTTTATTTAAAAAAAATAATGTATCCGTGTATAACTCCAGGACCAGACTTGTTTATGAATTTTTCAATGAAAAACTAAGTCATTCATAACAGCGAGTATTGATTTTGTAATAATATAAAAAAAAATTAAAATATCTGTATTGGTTCTGGATGGAACGGACTTCGAGGATCACCTTGACCTTGATCTTATATTGTCTCAAGGGATTTTCAGGAGCTACATAGACGGATGACTTTGATTGTATTTTGACTAAGCCTAGGACTGGGACTAAGGCTAAACCTATTTTAAATAGACGAGATGAGAATTTTTTACATATATTTAATAACAAAAGATATTACTATAAAAACTTTAATATATATATTTTCATTAGATCATATTTCATACAATAAAGATTTTCTATAATTACCTATTATAAGACAATGTAAGAAAAGTCGAAAAAAATATTGTAAAATAGTTTAAAATTTCTTTGTACAAATTAAAAGAAAATCATGCCGAACAGTGTAATGTTGTTGTTTCTTAAAATACCAACCGATAAGATAGATGTCTTTTTATTTGAATGTACATAGTATTTTTGTTTGATTATTTCATTGTAAAAAATCGAGTTTAACAATAATAAATTTTGGTTAGGGCTTCAGGTTTTTGTTAAAATATTTAAAATTAACCCTTTTAACACCAATGTCTTACCAGACCTGAAGGGTTGAATGAAAATATAAAGCGAAGTCTATAATGAAAAGGAAAAAATAATCTTTACTATTTCAAACATTACAACTCTTACCTAAATAATATGACACTAAGGATTAAAACACAAATTTAGTATGCATAATTATTTAAAACTGTATTTATTTTAAATTGATATTGGAATATATTAAGAAATATGTTATTCAAATAATCTGATTTAGTTATATGTTTATTTCAATACATTCTGAGAAAAGTTTCTTTTGTAAGAAATCTCAATTTTAAGATGCATACTTTTGTTATTTTATATGCTAGCGCTGTGTTTAAACAAAGCTTTTATACAGTTATTCAATTTTCTACGGGCTACGTTTCTTCTTTCAAATAAACTATTATCCGAGGAACCTAATTAATGCTTCTTCCATAATTAGTTACACAGAAGGATGATTTCTCTTTGGACTAATGCTGACATACACATTTATATCAAACAATGATAAATCAATTATTTGAACTACAATTAAATATATATAGTCTTCATATGAAATTTCACCTTCAGATATATAATAGATACGCAATTTTAAATAGTATAAGGATATTATCACACAATTTTGAACCAAAAACACTTAGTCGTAGTCATCGAATTTGTCCAACAAACAAAATAATCTTCAAAGCTTGTTTCTGCGCAGTGCATCGCTTAGCTCGATATGCATATTAATAACAATGTGCGTCTTTTAAATCAATTACTATATAAATTAAAAACTGAATACACATTTAATAAAAATATAATTCTTTTATATTCCTTTCTAATTTAAATCCGTGTGAATGTAGCTTCAGAGTTAATCAAATTTTGTTTAATACTTTGAACTCAGTCAAAGAAATAACCTGGCGTAGACGAATCCATAACTAGATCAAAATTATTTTAAAACCACAACGTCGCGTCGTCTGTAACTAATATTGGGAGTTCAACGTTTTCGACAGATTTCAAGAATTATTATATTACACGAGACTAGAATATGTTATACCGATCAAACTCCAGATAAATTGACCGCAATAAATAACAAAGACTGATCTGAGAAATGTTCACTCCAAAATAAAATCTCAAATTTTAAGAATTGGAAGGGCAAAATAAGTATGTTATAATACAATAAAATAGTTTTCTGTTCCTCCGCTAATGATATAAAATTATAATTAAGTAATAACTTATAGAGACAGAGCTTGGTATACTTTTAATTGGATAATGTTAGTCCTTGATCAAAATAAATATTTTAACCATTAAAATTTTAAACACTACAACATGTGCGTGACTCATTATTCTTTTGAATCTGCCGTTTCCTATTTTATTTTAATAGAAAAATAAATATGCAACTTATTTAATTATGACTTCTTTTTAATAAGGGATTTTCAAAACATTCAAGAAGTAGTAAAAAAAAATTTTCCGACACAAGTAGAATACTGACTAACTTTTTAAAGCATAACTAAAATTATAATTCGAGATGTATACGAATAATGATTCGAGATGAGTATCTGCACTTATAGACGATCTAACCGTATTACCGACAAAAACCTGCGTGCAAGACGCCAGGGCAGTACGTTTGAAGACAACAAAAGGAACATAAGTACTTTATTTAAAAGCCCGAGAATAAAACGACAAGCCTCGAGTAACTATAATAATATTTTTATATACTTCTATCATCTTCTACACATAAAAGCACAGTAGAAAATGAGTTATATCCATTGCACAGTAAATATGTTTAGTGGTCTTTGTATGAATACATTTAGGTATATGTATTTTTTATATAGGCAGTACCATAACATCACCATATAGTAAGTAGTTTGTGTACTTACCATAGTTAATATGATAAGCAGCGTATATAATCTGTTTGCCATTCCTATTGTTATTGATCCCTTCTAACTGTTTGCTTAGGATATATATGAGCTTTTCTAGATTCACAAAAGCTAGACATCTAAGTATCCTTCTTGATTAATGGATACGGATTCAATTGCAGTACTAGTATACAAACAACACTGGGTTTTACACATACCCGAATTTGTGTCTGCAACTTCTACCCTTAAAGAAATTTGATTTTTGGATTTTGTTTTACAACATTTGTTTTGTAATCAAATAAGCCAATGTAAAAACTTCAAACAACAATTCAAATATGGCTAAGACTGAAATATATTTATTATATATTGTTATGTCTTGGTCGCAATTAACAAAAACCTCGCACCAAAAAGGTAATATTTAAGATAAATAAATAAAAATTATACATCTATGTAGTACTTACTATACGTTCTCAGTAATGACAAATTAAATCATTTTCCTAATGCTATCAATGTGTATCTTATTCACTTAATCTTTCTTATTATGTTGCTGATGAGATGATTTTATTGTTATTCCAACGTTGTTTTATTTGATAGTTAAAATATATTAAAAACAACATGTTTTTAACTTCGATTTTGTCGTCGCGGGGATCGAAATTAAAGTCAGAAAGAAATGTAGAAAGTGTGCTTAAACAATAGATGGGTAACCAATAGCGACATCTATAGTTTGAATCCAGTAGCTTCATACAGAATACTGATATTATGACGTGATTCTGCGGTAACCATACGGAATTTCGATATTGATTATATTCTTTGTTTAAAGTTTCCTCAAAATCCATTAAGTAGTTTTTGTGTGAAAGACAAAAAACATCCCCATAATCATACATACAACGTTACAATCGCTCACTTTTATTTTATCAGTAGGATAGTAAGATAAAAATACTAGACAATAATTCAAAATCAATAAGGTACAATTTTCAATGTTATGAAATGTAAAAAGTAACTAAATGATGAGCAAATTGTAAAATTAATAAACGTTTTATATTTTAATTTTCCTATAGTTACGTAGAATTAATTATTGTCGGCCACATAGAATACATTTCATGCTGCGAAAAGAACTGTTCCCGAGGGCCAACTCGCATTCGTTTTAAAAATCAGTGTCATTTATTTTGAGTACGATTCATAATAACACAAAATGTAGCTTTTACAAACTGTGCTTACTAACATTCAATATGGACAAAAACTTTTGGTTGGGTACTCTTTGTCCATATTTAAATTTCTTATATTATTAGTTTTTTAATTCATAATATAAACATTTTATAACAATAAACAATAGCCCTAAACTTTTTTCTTATGGTTTACATTCCTATTGTGTTCATTTACTTATAATACATAAAAACTTATTCAATTTTAATAAAATCTGATTATTACAAAAAAAGTCTAGAAATTAACCGTGGATAGTTTATTATAAATTATATATTTTTAATATATTTTAATACCTACTATTACTATTATTATTTATAAATTGATGCAGTTAATTTGTTATTTAAAAAAAAATATCAACGCACTGCAGGAAGCGGTTTTAATAAGATGTGGCAACTCTGAGAGTAGCTAGGGGACAATGCAGCATCCTGCACTGCAACACCCAAATGTCCTATTTGCACTGCTGCCAAACACCCACTGGGATATATTTCATTCAAAGTAATATAAACCACTTGAATACGACATTGGATACATTATACATCCTTGTAAATAATTAATTTTTATAATTGTCAAATTCTTTTAACTACATATTTAGCCGATCAATAACGTAGCTGTTTGCTTTTTAACGTTATTTTATATGTTATTTGACACAGTTATTCCCCTCACTTAAAAAATAAAAAATATTTCATATTTAAATTATGATATGCAGTGTTAGTAACATAAATTTATTTCTACTAACGTGGAATTGATTAATTGCTTTTTAAAATAAATAAATCTGAAATTGAGAATAAAAGCATCATTACCCTTATGGTCGTAAAGTAACTTGTAAATTAATCGAACCCAAGAAAAAACCTTTAAAATTTATATTTTTTAAATTATTATTTATTATATACGAAAATAATCTTTTTGTTAATAATAAAATAAACCTTTCCAAACGCAACCAAAAGTTGCCACCAATATAGAAAATACACCCTCGTTTTCACCGAACACAGATAAAAATACACACATTTATTCATCTCGTGGATGTTTGAAAAGTGACTATGCAACAATCACTGAAACAAATTATAAAAAGCCGGAGAAACCTGAATCGCTGATTCGGAACTTGGGCCGTTA